TGAGAAAAAGGGATTCTGGAACTCAAAAAAACGTGCGCATATGATCTTCTCCCCCATAAGTCACATATAGGTTTTACTGTAGTGTTTTTTACTAAATAAATCTAAATACTAATTCAATCTAATGTCTCAACGTATGAGCGAATATGCAACATTTGCATCCCGCTTAGGTTATTTTGACAATTTCAAATTAGTAAACTTAAAAGCTGCAAGCTCTGAGGATGATCGCTATGCGATCGAAACGATCATAAGCTGAATAAAAAGTATTGATACCAGACAACATCTTTATTTATTTATCATAAACTTAAAACATGATATATAACAAAAATGAAAATTCACCATGAACACAAATATACGATTTAATGTGAAAAGGGAATTATACAACTGAGAATGCAACCCTACTTTCCTCACAAACTTCACGAGTGTTGCAAATATGGTACACGATACTAATCAGTTCAGATACTATTATCTCGAATATTGAATTGAGATCATACATACCTGAGTACAGACTCCAAACGACAGTGCTGGATTTATTGAATGATCAAGACTTGTTATCTATCCAAATTCGCAATGCGAGAGAGTTTTCATGCACTCAACATTCTCTCGGTAACGTACTAAGTGATGAAGTATTGTGGACATTTTTCAAATAATACTAGAATTCTGGGTTGTTTACCTATGAAAGTTTTGTTGCCGCTTATTTAATCGTTGTTAAGCAACGAGTTGTTTCTGTTATCTAAAATTTAACTTTGAAGCATGAAACTAGCAATTTTCTTAATTTTTTACAATTTGTTTAAAATGCATCTTCATCATTTTGATACTTATATTTTTTAAAGAAGTTTTGAATGACCGTGCAATGTCGAAGATATCTTGAGGAAATTTCCTGTTTTGTTTATTTTCTTCCAGTTCGGCCCGTATGGCTTTTCGGGGATTTGTATTTATATTCTTGCATTTCAATGTGAACGAACCATGTAGTTCCAGGAATGTGTCTTTACTAGAAAACGTTATAAAATGTCGCTTGATCTTGTGTTTGAATTTACATATACTTTATACAAACACAACAGTACAGTACAATTGCACAAAATGATTCAGTATATTGTCATTCATTTTTAACTAGAAAGAGCATTCAGTAATAATCATGTGAAAGATTGTTTTTGTGTTCATTTATATTTTTCATATTGCTGTTATACATGGCGAGCTTAAACAATCCTTCAGATAACGACAAATTATAAAAAGAACGTGTAGCAATACGGCCACGTTTGAAAATTGTTGAACTTGGACAGGATTCTAGTCACTTAAAGTTTTTTGAATAATGTAATTGACATTCTTTTTTTGTAAATGTTTCTTCTTTTTTAATACGTTGAGGATAAACCAGAGAAGTTTAGAATCGGTCTAAAAATGTATTTTGAATTTTTTTCATGCCTCTCTAGATGAACATTTTTCTGTGCCTCCTTATACCTTTAATGCATGTATCGGTGACTGGCAGATAAAATTTTTGAATATGATAACCACGCTTTCTTTTTTAAGGAAGAGGTAAAATTTAGCTATATTGCTTGAAATTTATTAGAGCATATTTCAATTCTCCAATTTTTTACATTTATTGATATTTTTAGGTCGTATTCTAGATTTTCCTGTGCAAAACTGATCTCACGGATTAACCCTTAACCGCTGTCCTGGATCTGCCAGACCAACACCACCTAGACATACTACAACCTAGACATTCTAAACAGTCTATGTGGTGTTGGTCAGAGAAACTAATCCCTCTGCGTCCCCTTACCATCATGATTGAGTCATATTCCTGTTATTCTCAGAAGCTGAATTTGTATAGTGAGTGGGTATACAGCTTGCGTTATTCATTTCAGATTTTTAGTGGTTTCCTGGGTCTGAGAGACCCAGAACAGCAGTTAATTAAGTTTTCTATAAATTTAATCTGTTGTAAAAATATTTTTTTGCGTTGGACTGTAGAGAAACGTTGTTCGTTGCCTGAACAACAGCAGACATATTTCCTACATTAGTAATGTGTGCCTATAAGACTATATGGTATTAGGTGGTGAGAAGTGAGTATATAATTTCTATGTTAGATGAAAATAATTGTGCACAGACGACTTGTTGCAAATATATCACAGAAACAGTAATAATATAAATTGTAATTTTATATGTACAACTATTTCTTTTCATGATTGCCTATGTTACTAAAATCTAATTTGATGTACTTTTTTCTCATGGCGAAACTTATATTTTTAATATGATTTTTCATACTGACATTTTTGAAAATGTGTTTTAGAGAATGGAAATATCACTTTCTTCGATTTACCTTATAATATGTGAACGAGCTAATCAAATTGTAAATGAGTAAATGTAAATTTTTCTTTCAAGCGTTTCTTTCAGTCGTTTCATTTCCAAACGCGAAAACTGGCGTCAAAATGTTTCCAAGTTTGATAACTTTATTTTTTAAACTGGAAATTAATTGAACATTCTGTATTTCCTACAGGAAAAGTGTTAAAAGAACATTCAGATACTTTCAGAGTCGTAATGTTGTGTGGTATAACAAACCCTGCATATTTATTTCAGTCCTTGAATCAGTTACCATAATAGAATCGGACAGGATAACACTGAACTTTTTCTTTCTGCAACAATGAATAACAATGAAACACATTTTTACTTACAGAACAAATTATATCGTTCTATCTTCGTGTTAAATCAGCTTTCAGAGATACGTATATTCCATCGGCCGTAGATAGTTTTTTGTTTGTTTATTATTCTTGCTTGGAACTGGTTAGAGGTTTGCGCGTCTTCGATACTCTGTTCGGAGATTTCTTTCCTTCGAAACTGATACCACATGTTATTTACCAGCAGCCTGGACATTCATATCTGCAGCGCACATCAATTCGTTACTTCTATTCGCTGCTTCAATTCTTCGGTCCTATTGCGGTTACTGCATTCGTCGAAATCTTTCGACGTCCGCCCCTGCTTACGTTTTGATCACATTGTTAATTTTACAGTTTCACTTATCCAATGTTTTTTATTTATTATAAATCTATTGTTGCTCTCCAGTTTCGTTTAAATTTACTTTTCAAGTGAGGCAATTCCCGCTTCAAAACACTGACTTTGTCTGACGAACACTAACAAAGTTCTATAAACAATTTTGCATATGATCCATCTTTTCACTAAAATATTCAGAACAATCTGTAATTACGTTAAATAGTTCTGGTCTAGTTAGCTTCTTGATGTTTTCATCATATTCTGCAAAAGAAAATATCTCTTCGTGCAATTTCTTAATCAACTATGTGACACCGTTTTTAAAATAATAATTTATTACAAATGTTAGTGGAGTTATGTGGATTATCGGTATCATGTTCCAATTACCTATTACAATTGCCTACCAGTGGGAACAAAAGTTTTGGGTCGACACTACCCGGCAGGTGAATTAAGATACCAATATTTGTTAAAAAAATAGTTGAAATTCACTTTACGCGTAAATGTAAAATATTCAAAAATATAAGTAATTATTGATAAATGTGAAAAAACATTACCCTATAACAGTAGTACGTACATTTTTACTTCAATATCCATTATAAATGTAACAGTTCGCAAAACACCAAAAACATAGAAACACGTTTTTGAAACCACTCGCACAGACGCGCACTGGACAAGCTACACTAGAACTTACCGCGGCTGGAATCAGACCGTCGCTGACAGCTGTTAGCCCTTTTCAAGGGGCAAAATATTTCACATGATACAACAAATCTTTTACTTCACGCTGGGCACGCTAAATATTTCCTTTGTTCAAATTTGGTTTTCGACTTATGGCCAGGTTTTCGCACAACTGTGCAGCGCAACAAGATTTGCCGGACGCAGCGCCGGCGCCATCTAGGTGTAGGAAGATAAGACTAAGTGATATGTGCGGGCAACAAGCACCGATATGGAAAGATACAGACGATTTACTCCGATTTTTGCTCGTTCTGCGCAGTCACGGTTCTGCGTCACGGAGCACGGGGCCAGAGCATAGGTAGTTCGTTTGAATAGCCAGACCACACGCTGGCCACCATGTTGCATGGTGAGCGAGGTTGCATTAAGAAACATTTTAAAAGTGGTAAAAAGTGACAATATTTAACAGCATAGAACCAAAAATAACACGATGGAGATGTAAAAGATGCAAAATTTAAAAGAAATGTTTCACGTATCTTTTCACTGACTTGTAACAAGGTAATGTTTTGGTATCTGCTTACGTTTAAAATTCGCGCTAAAATTGTGGCACAAACTGGTGCCTGAAGCCCATTGGTCGAAGTCAGATACAATGTTAAAGAGCGCCCTCCCCTCGCTCTCTGGATTGCCCAAATATATTTGTTTTTATTACAGCATTATAAAAGAACCTTTTCTTTTGCATGAAATCGTTCATAATCGGGCATTTTACGGCACAAATTATGACGCATTAGATTTTATGTCACGAATGATTGCGTTATCACACATTCAGACAATCGTAGCGAGAGAATCGTGAGGCGGTAGAGCTAAACGGAACAGCCAATCACCGTTTACTCGCACGATGTCAAATACTCGAGTCGTCACAGGGAAGTTGCTTCGCAAAATTAAGTTTGATTCTCTTATAAATGCATAAAGCTGTGATACAAAAAAATATAGTATGCTACTCGTTTATAATGTTGCTTTATTACTTTCGTACAACTTTGAAAACTCGCTCCTAAAGTCGCTCGTACTCATGCGTAACATGTACCCATGCGATAAAGTTTAACATTATAACCTAATTGCAGAAACTACTGTTAATATTCGACATGAGCTAAGAAGACAGATCGGGCGGGAGTCGAAAGGCAACAATAGGTGCAAAACGTACAAAAACAATATTCAAAGACAATAAAATACTTAGCTGTGATTAAAAAACAATAAACACCATTAGTGCGTGTTATGTTTTATTAAGCTGTTGAAGCTATAGAAACGTGACATAAAAAATCTCTTGAAGTCTTTTTTAGAAGGAAGTTTAATTTAGAAGGTTGTTAATGCGGTTGCTGTGCGCCGCCGTTGCGCGCGGGCGCAGGACGAGACGAAGTGTGGGTGAGGTGAAGCTGACTGCTGAAGACGGGATGACTCCTCAGTTCAGCAGCTGTAAAAGAATCAATACACAACAGTTAGTGCTGCTACAGAAGGTTGGCTATGCGGTTGAAAAATCATAGGTTGTCTCAGAATATTCAGTTATCTTCAGACTGTCATTAAGTTTTTATTTACAGATTTTGTTGTCCAAAGTTATTTTAGACAGACATTTTTATTAAATATATTGATCATATTTTATTTAAATATATTGAAATATATCGTATTAAGTACGTTTAAGCAGAAACCACATTAACCATTATATAAAATTAAATAACTTTATTACAATGTTTTATTAATTTTTGAAGTATATTTTTGTCTCAGAATAAATGCTACAAACTTCTAGGGCATGTAGAAAGACGACTATGATAATATTTTAGCAATAAATAATCCCCTTGCTTCAGAACCTTTAACTGTCACTGTGCTAATCAGGAGCAAACACCACAAGTGTAACTTCATTACATGAGATTTCCCACCATCACTATTCATTCACTAGTATCAATTTTCTACACCTTCATTACAATGCACTGTAGGTGGTAAATTACTTGGATGCAATTTTTATTTCGATGATTAAACATTAACACTACAGTCTTAGTTTCAACCACTACTTCCGGCCGTTTTACTGTAATTTTAATCTTTTCATTACACATGCGCACTAGATTTATCCATTTTTTAGTGTCCGCCACCGTAGTTCTTCCTTTTCCTCTCATAATTCACTAAGCACAATGCAATTCACAAGATACAATGAATCGACGACGTCTGTGACGAATCATCTTTTGCCCAGCACAGTACTTTTCATGAAACTTTTTCATTTTCTAAATGTCTCTCATTAGATTCTACCATACTGAAGGTAAAGTTGACAGCACTAAAATGTCTGAATATTATTTTTACGATGTCAGATATTTGGGAATTGAAAATAGCTAATTGTTAATGCAATCAGTGTAATCGGTTTTCTGAAGCTTCGTTTCTCTTAATTTTTTATAGAAGTGAGATTTTTTTCACAATAAAGGAAAACGAGTACGCAATGTATAAAGCGCGGGTTCACATCCGATCGCAGCCCAGGATATTTAAGGACGAGATAATCCGTCGTATACTTTCCTTCGGATATGAAGTAAAGCCGGCTGTCCCATGTTGTAGATTTCCTGCATGTAAAAGATCCTCAAGCGTAAAAGAAGTCTCTGAGCTAAATATAAAATCGCGTGTTTCTTCGTCCGAATGATTCCTTCTTTCTCCGCTAGATGGTGAAAGGAGCGTAGCGAAATTTGTTTGGCCAGGCGGAAGAGCAAGCTTCACAGCACGAGTCTCGCCACGTAAAATAAGGCATCATTTAATTGGAGGGCTCTGTACAAGAAGCTATCCCATATTAACACAGTTTTGAGATATTGAGGGTGTTATCTAAACAGTACACTTGCATATATAACCTTATTGGATTTGAAGAACTTCTTAACCTAACGAATAATATTTGAAGCTTTGCAAAATGATAATACCTCAATTTCACAAAAATGTGGGATCGAAAAAGATACCGATGTCATTGCATTCTCTCTGACCATGGGGATCTAAGTTCGAGTCTCGACGGTGGCAGAATTTTCGACACTAGCTTGTCAGCTAGGTTGAATTTAGATGCTGTCTAGAGAAGAATTCTAGCGGCCGGCTGCTCTGAGCGGTTTTTCGTGTTTTTTCCGGTCAACATCAGGCGATCTTTCCCACCTCTTTGTCTTATTGTCTTTTTTGTCCTATCCTCATCCATTTCACACACATTAACGTGCACTACACTACCACACGTGCTGAGAGACCAGTCGGGAGGTTAGAACTGGTCCTGGCTAGGGTGCTGCCCAGCCGTTGGGGATAACTTGTTGCGGAAAACCCCCGCTACCCGACCTTAGTTCGGTGCCGGATTTCGCCATCCAGCGGGGAAAGACAACTGCTGAAATAACATTCACTACACTTACGGGTCTAATGACCGTAGCAGTTGACGAGTCCGGAATCACTAGCAATCAATCATCAATCAACAAATATGTGGGAACGCCCCTTTTTCTGCTGAGTACTTCAACTAAACAGAACTGAACTGAATGGAATCGAATGGAATGGATTGGAATGGAAAGGATTGGAATGGATTGGAACGGAATGGAATGGAATCGAATGGAATGGAATCGAATCGAATGGAATGGAATCGAATGGAATGGAATGGAATCGAATGGAATGGAATGGAATCGAATGGAATGGTATGGAATCGAATCGAATCGAATTGAATTGAATCGAATCGAATCGAATTGAATGTAAGGACTTATGAGGGCCCGACCTGGCTGCGCTTGCCCAGGGCAGACTCGATGGCAGCCGCGATGATGGCGGCGGCCTGTTTCTCCAAGTCGGAGCGGTTCTCGGCGAACCAGGTCTGGATGCGGTCGGCAGCCTCGTTGTTGATGAGGTCGCCTACCTCACCAGCGCCCTGCACGTTGATCTGCAACCGACATTGCACCGTTCATAACTCGCTCCAAACTTTATTTTTTAAGGAGAGTAAATGTGAAGGAAATGGAAAAGTCACAACAGAACTGAACACAGGAAGAAACAAATTAATTGAAATACAAATATGATGTAAAAATGACCAGGTAAAAGAGACTAAGAGTACATACAACATCCATATGAAGCCGAAATTGGAGAAATCTGACAAAAATTTACTTCTAATCCTTCAAGCGGATCACTGATTCATCCAACTTGTGAACACTTAATATTAGGTAACATGTAATTTTCGTTCTCCAAAATTCAATGACGAACATTGACTAATGTACAGACGTTTGATATTATTCTCGTTTACAAATCAGTAACCACGACGATCTGTATAGTTCACGAGTAGACAAGATTTATCTCCAAGGTCAAGAAAACTAAGTTCGGTTTGTGGTATCTTCGTATCTGCAACGATTAACAAGGCAATGACTCCAGATTCTAAAGATTGGACATTACTACTTTGCAGTGCCTCATTCCAAGATTACCAAGAGTTTGAAAATCAATTTCCTCACTATATCAATTCTCACTAAATCAAATCATATTTCATTTTCTCATTAAATCAACTGTAATTTAGAGCTGTACAAATATCACATATTCGTTTTCTATCATTTAATATCTCTAAAGAAGTTTAGTATTTTTATAAATTGAAGATCATTTATGACATTTCTGACAAGATTTTAAAAGAATGTTTTCTTCGAGAAAAAAAACATGCAATGAAAGAGGAACTATACTACTAGTATATCTTTTGTATATATATCTTCTATAAATATTCTGGGACTACACTACTTATATAATACTTTCTTAAATGGATCATAATATCGCAAATCATCTTTACTGCCTTTTAGAAGAGAAAACAAGTAGGAAGGAAATGTACGAATGTAAACAGTACGTACTACTAGCTTTTGAACCTAAAATACGCGATCAGTGTTTTGATTTTAATGTCGCCATTGAATAATAGAAATTGGGCATGCTTTACCATTAATAAAACCATTGAATTAATTATGGGCGGAGTTGGGGACCTCAATAATTACAGTTCAATTATACTTACGTCGACATCGCCCAATCCCAGAGTAACATCGACACTCTTCACTTTAAAGCTCAGAGTGACAACAGCCTTGACAAGGAAGCTAATGTCCTTAACAACAACCCTGGAAAGAAAGAAAACATGTTAATGAAACTCTCGATTTAAAAATTCGAAATGGTATATTCTTCGGGAGACAGTTCGTTTTCTTTGCGGTATTTCAATTGAAACTAGTGGTGTCAAATTGGAGGCAATTAAGATGTTTCCGGTTTTTTAGGCTAACGAAAGGCTTGATTGGAAGAGAAGTTAAATCTGCTTCAGTCACTGAAAGCAGTTGTAAGAAGGGATTAGGAGTGAGCCTTAAATTACGTAACTGCTAAAAAGGGGAGGGGATTGAGGCACCGTTGAGCTGCGTTATATAGAGGTGGGGAATCATAGTTCAGTATTTCGTAATGCTGATTTTTATTTTTTAAATTTTACTATATTCGCTGAAATAATTCCTTTTAATTAATCATACTCGAGAACTTTCAAATGTTAAGAAACTAAGTAACGAAAATTAATATCAAATTATGATTATAAATCATTAAAACAAATGAAAATATGTTTACATCAGTAGTACATTGATTAAAACTGTCAGAAGAAAATATTCAAAAGTCATCTATAAAATGTTTTAGAATCCGACTTATTCTAACTCTAATTATCATACTTTTATTTGTTTTAACAATTAATAACTTTTATTTTCTGAACATTTAATACAACTCGCTGTTACTGCTCTATTTTTTTTCCTTCTTGAAAATAGGAGGCAGTGTCTTGTGACAAAAGTTACGTAATTACTTCGGGAAGTAGAAGCGCGTGTTACAGATGCGTTTCAGTTGAGAGGGGGTATTAAAAATTCTCCAAATTTGTGTTACGTAATTTATGGAAAAGCGCAGCACGTTGGGTGAGAGTTTAGATTACTGGCGTTTGAACCTTCAGTGCGCGGGTTCGATCCCGGCCGAGATGCGTGCATGTTCGAAGGGCGGAAAATCCTCAGTAGCCAAGTTTGTGGCAAGTGAATGAACCCTAGTGGATGCCCAGTAAAATAAATCCCCCCGACAATATCCCGCCTTAACGAGATCTTACTTTCTCCCAAACATGTAGCTCGGATATAGTTAACTGATACCGATATCTTGCGGAAAAAGGGAGTCACAACTCAGGCGTATCAGGGGACCGCCCGCTAGGCGCGCCTGCTCGAAAGGTCCCCAGACCCGCGTCTGAAGTAGACTCCCAAGGAAGCCCTGGTCGAAAAAGAGGCTGGCATCCGGAAGCGATCTATCCATTACTACTACTATATTAAGGACAGCCCCTGATTTCGTGACTCACGTGAAGTCTCCGTCGGCGTCGACGCTGATGTCAGTGCGCATGCGCGTGTGCGCCTCGCCGCTGAGGCGGTAGTTGCCGACGGCGCTGACGGCGGGCACGCGAACGCCCACGGTGACGGTGGCGCGCGGCGGAAGGACGCTGATGGAGATCTTGGACTTCTCCACCACGAAAGCGCCCAGGCCCTCGAGCCTGGCCTGCGACAGGGAGCCCTCGGCGGACACCAGCGGCTCCTCGTCCACGGCGAACTCCCACTCGTCCACCACCAGCGGGTCCAGCACGGGGATGCCCAGCTCGGCGTCGCCCTGCCGCCCACACAACGACACGGTTGCCATGACTTTGTTGAGTCGGTTTTCAATGGTAATCACGTATAATCTCAAGTACAGAGATACTCCTTAATTAGTGGAGACATATAAAAGTTCAGACCTTTCGCACGTTTTAAGCTAGCTTCTCGGTAATGCCCTACCGTTTCCCCATCTGCTAATAATTATCACCTGGCCACTCGGTGCCTAAAAGACAATTTAAAAAAATACTTTCTCAATTTTTCGGTATCGTAATAGTAGAATTGAAATATGACTTTAAGTATATTGTAGAAGAGTAAAAATTTGTCATTAATTGGTCAACTGTAATTGAAAAATTTTGAGCTGTCGTTTAGAAAATTTTGTTTGAGTGTTCCTGAAAATACAAAACTGTGTGGTCGTTTTCACTGAAAATTATTAGTTTTCGCGAAACTTCGTCAGGAATTATTTAAATTTTTTCTGCTCACAAATTGAATAAAGCATAAAAACTCCCGCAGTATAAATATTAACGAGAGAGATATTTAAAAACACGTAAATGTGAGTAAAATTAAAATAAATTATTTTGTACAATATATTATATCAAAATGCTTGTTATTCAGTGCATTTAAGAAAATCCTTATAAAAGGTTTAAATAAAGAATTTAAGTGGGTTTTTAAAAAATCTTGTTTTTAACATATCCCATATTTTATTGAAAATAGTCCGAAAAATACTAATATTTTCCTAAAATGTACATGACATCACTTACAGAACTAATAGTGAAGAAAAAAATAATTTGAAGAAAATTCTCTACTTTTAATATTGTAGTTGCAAAAATACACCGAAATAATCGAATATTTGCAATTTTCGAAAATATAGTGTATTAAATGAAAATCTAACTTCGTGAATATCTGAAATAGTCATTTTCATACACGGTCGTCGGCAAAGCGGATTAAAACACGTACCGAAAAACCTAGACCCATTTATAAGAAAAATGACCTTGAGCCTTCATGTAGAGTAACCTTAAAAAATTTAAATATTTTTTTCAAATTGAAGGCGACGCGACGTTAATCAGATCAAATGGAAAATATGAATTTTGGTGAAAATGTGACTTACGGTTTATTCACAAGCTTTGTTCACAGAGAGACGGACAGATCTTTTACCGAAAAACAAATTTTCGGGCACATTGAAAACAAATGTTTTGTTTCTCGGTAACAGGAATTTACCATAGTTATTTATGATCAAAGAATTTCAACTGCGTCCATTTATCACCAGATATGAAGACCCCTCTGTGTGCGTGTGTAACTACGGCAACGGTTGAGGAGCGTGGTGCGCAACTGAGCTGCGTGTTGAGCACTCACGTTGAGGATGATGTCCCTGACGTTGTTGAGCGCGTCGTCGATGGCGTTGCGCACCGCCGCCTCCTCTGCGGCGCTGATGTCTGCGGTGCGGGCGGACGCCGGCGCCAACAGCGCCAGAGCGGCTACGAACACAAGGGACAGCATGTTGGAGCGGAACCGAGCGGATCGGAGCGGGGCGGAGAGCGGACCGGCACGATGCTCCGCGGACGACGCCCGCTCCTCTTATACGCGCGCAGCGGGAGGGGAGGGGGAGGTTGATAGGCGTACGCGTACAAACTGTCTCACGTGATCTCAATGATGACCGGCCACGCCCCCTCCTGGGTAATATTGTTTGGGTTGGTTTTGTCTGCGTCGAGAACGACTCTTGGGAATCTGCTACACTTATCGGCACGAGTGTGGTCATTATAGAGTATATTGAGTCATCTTCAAGAGCATTAATAATGGTAATCGATTGAAATGCACCTTAAAAGTGTAACTGAGTTTGCCAATCACCATGTTAGTGTAAATGATTATTTTAGGCGACGGTCAGTTAATGATGATTTAATATGTTCATATACATAATGATGATATAATATGTTTTTGGCAGCTTTTAGCTTACTGGCAGTTCTTGTGCTATACCGTCAGTTTGCAAGGAAAAGGAATTAAGTTCATAAATGTTGAAGTGAGATATTAATGGAGATACGTGCAAGAAAATAATTATTTACTTACACAGAACTCTTAAACCCTTATTTCTTTCAGCACCTTTCAAGGAACCATCGAAAATCTCTAAAACAGAAATTAAGGAAATCCTTTTTGCAAAACAGCATTTCGTTTCAGCAGCTTTGTACCGGCCGAGGTGGCTCAGGGCATCAATTGCTGTCACTGCAGAGCTCAATGGGAGGACTTAGGGTTCGAGTCCCGACGGTGGCAGAATTTTCGCAACAAAGTAGCCAACTAGCCAGCCGCTATCTGAAGGAAAATTCTAGCGACAGGATCGGTAACACACATGTCGGGAGACCTGTCGGAAATATAAAACTTGTGGCGTGGTGCACCTCTAGTGGGAGATTTGTTCGGGAAAGCTCCACTAACCAACGTGTAAGACGGTGTCGTACCTCACTTTCCAGCGTGGGAATAACAATTTCACAGGTCATTTAAGAAAAATAATGTTTTCTTCCCGTCCACTATAATTTATCATCTGATCAAAATTCGCAAACTATCTGAATATTTCTTTATTCTTCTCTTTAGTAGAGTAGCCTTCAGAGTTTCTTCGGTAATATGTTAATGCGTTTGATGTCAGACATATCTATTGTATATAAAGGTATTTGTTCAATAATGAGGTACTAATTATTAATTATAAATCTGAAATATTGTTTATTTGTAGTGTGTAAAAGAAAACCTTTTTGATTATAAAAGCTAGTTGAATATTGAAATGGAAAATGTACGTTCATGAAAACTAAAAATGTAAATTAACTGTAAACACATGCTACAACAAAAATTCTAGCTCAAAATTTTGACGCCGGCTTAGCGGCGTACGAAATGTTTAACAAAAAAATACTAATAAATGTGTGTCGCTGTATTATGCAGCGCGATGATGGGACACAATACAAGTAGAATTTTAGGATTATATGTTTATTTGGAAGACATCGTTATTCTTCATGGCAAATAAGCGGCATGAATCATGGGAAGAGAAGAGCTTCTGGAACGTCGCTCCCTCTTCCTGAATTTCACAGAATAAGTTACCTGTGCGTCAAGAGATGTAATGTTTATCCCATTCCCGGTCTGTCCCGTGTACGAGAAGTTTTGCGACATTCGCCGATTAAATTTGGATGCATCTTTTTCTCCACTCCTTTCTCTTAAATTACATTTAAGACTTTCTTTAAATTGCTTGTAGGAATTTGCTTGTCCATATTTCATGATCCCACTGCATCGTAAATTCTCTCAAGTTTTTTTAAGTGGTCCGTTTTTCACTTCAAAGAAATGATGTAAGCACAAAATTAAATGCAAGGGTTACTGCACACACTTTGATTTTTCTTTTAAAAAAATAGGAGAAGGAAACTGATCTCTCTTTCACACACTCTTTCTCTCACACTCTCTCTCATTCTCACACTCTCTCACTCTCATTCTCACATTCTCATACACACGTGCAACCTTGTGCAGCGGTCAAAATTACTCGCTATTACTTTCTATCTATTAAGTTAACTTGCCATGAATTCAGTGTCATGTAATGGGAATAATAATGTAGCTCGTGCATGTTGCTCTCTCCGAAGTTCAACTCATAGAGAAGAGCGATTTGTTATTAAAAATACCTTTGTGCTATAATTTATTGGCGGGCGTGCTATGCATTTCAGGAATACGTACAAAACGAATGTGACCTATTATAGAGACTTCCTGACATTTCACATGTTCGGTGGAGCACGAAATTTGGTAATAATGTGTCAACAAAGATGGTATTGAATATTAATCTATCAGAGTGTCTAAAGTGTCTGTCTTTTGTAGTTTATCTAATTGTACAGCAGAAATTTGTTTGCTGGATGTTCGTTCCAGATGTTTACTTCCAGGTGTTAGGTTTTGTTAACGTGTTATCTAAAAGTGGTTTCACCTGTAGTCTTTGTCTTATATCTGCGATGCGTTTCTTATCCAGTGAAGTACGCGTACTTTCCAAAATGCTTCTCAAAACGTTTCTGACGTCTTTTAGGGACAGTGTAAAATCTCTTGTAGAATATGTCATACGATATCTCGTACACAATGAATACGCAGAAGTATTCATTATCCTTACATTCAGTAATACTTGATAAACCATCCATAGAAATGGTAACATGGTATTCAAATAATAAAATAAATGTGAAATCAACAAATCGATTTCCTAACATTTCACGGGTTGTAAATGTCTTCATAATTAATTGCATTGCCGTCAAGCAAAAGCGAACAATTGATTTTATTAGAAATGAATTCAGTATGAACAATGCCAATAATATTTTAACAAGTGTAGTTTTGACGCAGTACGTTTGAAAAATCTTTTCATGCTTACAGAGTGACTATGTTTAAAATTCATTAACATTACTTTTTAATTTTAACGTCAATACGTAAATATTTCATGAACTTCTGGCTTAAGCGTTAGAAGAAACTGGAAATGTCAGACTTTTTGTTTCTTTTCATCACTATCAAAGGAAAAGCACTTCCAAATTTAAGTGCTTTAAAATATGCATGATATATTATTTTATCGGAGTACTAGTTTTGATAAATATCGTGTTTGAGCATTTACGTTACAAGCATTTTATTAAATAATTGAAATTAATTAATTAATTATGTTATTTCTTCATATAATTCAAGATTGTGCTCCGTGCGATCGAGTAAGATACATAAGAGTAAGCCTCTTCACAAATGTAATAGATCTTATTTTGTAGATTGCGACTTAAATTGAGTCTCGTGTTTAATTAATTTGTCGATGTAAAATAAATTATTAGGAATAAAATCGTCGTATAATTTCCAATTGGAACTGAATGTAAAGGTCACTTGCAAACTGAGCGTTCGCCTTTGCCTTCGCCTTCGCCTTCGCCTTCGCCTTCGCCTCCGCCTTCGCCTCCATATCCGCCTCCGCCTCCGCCTTCGCCTTCGCCTTCGCCTCCGCCTCCACCTTCGCCTTCGCCTCCGCCTTCGCCTTCGCCTCCGCCTTCGCCTTCACCTCCACCTCCGCCTTTGCCTCCGCCTTCGCCTCCACTT